GCAGCTGGACCAAGTGGGTGTCAGAAGTGAGGGCTGGCGGGAGCCGGGCTCGGGGCAGTGCCTTTCTTTCTGGAAGGTCAGTCAGGAATGTTGCATTTCAGATTAAGTTGTAAAAGAACAGTGTTAGGAAAGGGGGCACGGTGAGCCCTGACCCGTCTGCAGGAGAGCTTCTGAGTGTCCCCACCCTGCGGCTTCCCGAGGCTCCTTTTCTCGTGCACCTGACCATGCACCGCGCGGGGCCCGGCGCCCAGATCTCAGGTCTGTCCCGAGGTCTGGTGCTCCAGGGCCCGCAGGGCTGTCCCCAACCAAACGCGCCTCTGCCTCCGCCGGGCTTCTCTCCTGTCCGTCTGCCCGCCCCCCGGGAACAGCCCATTGCATGACTGAAACGGTGCTGGGGGGACAGGGACAGACGGCAGGAACCTCTCAAGGGGACGCAGACTGGCTGACTCCCCATGGGAGGGCGAGGAGGGCTCTGCTCTTGTCGGAACAGTTTGCTCCCCTTTGAATTTTGTTTGTTGTTGAAGCATTCCTATACCTGAGGAAGAGCGTTCTTCTCTTAGATGTTCTTTGTGAGGCTGAGGTGTAGTCTAATTGTACTTCATGTGGTCATTTCCCTAGAACCAAAGGCTTAAAGTCCCTAGTCCGAAGCGAAGAGCCATCTGTGTGGTGGTGCTGTTGGCGTTTGTCTTCCTGAACTACGGACCCATCAGGTGAGTGTGTAGTCACAAGCTAGAGAAGGATGGATTTGTTTTATTCTCAGAGACGAGGGAGAGGAAAGGTTGGTTCCTCCGTCTTTTCTTTGCCAAGGTCTGGATAAAGTTGGTGATTTCTAGTGAAGGAAGTGTAAGTTATCAAGCAGATTGCTGGGGAAGCAGAACAATGAAATCAGGCTGCCTACTTGCCCCGTGACTGCGTTGTCTTAGGCAAGCAGCTGAATGTCTCCCAGCCTCAGTTCCCTGCCCTCAGGTGGGATAATAATAATGACTCACCTGCCTCTGTGCTGGGGGCTCGGGCATCAGTGCTGACGTGGCGCTAGGCTAGCCCACTGCCCAGCGAGAAAATCAGCAGCGAGACCAGTGGTCCCGTTTCCGGTTTTGCAGGCTTGGAAAGGTGGGCAAGAATCTGAGCATTTGTGAGCATCCCAGCTGATGGTGCAGGATTTCAGCTCAGCACACGTGAGAAGCACTGCTTTGGGGTTGGAGTCAGAAGACGAGTTCAGAGCGATCCCAGGGGTCATCTCAGATTCCCACCTGCTGTGGCACATCCGACACCCACCCCCCCCCAAGCACCCTGGTGTAGGGGTCAAAGAGAAGTCAGCAGGGCCACGGGTCCGAGGCCCATGCCGCCCTAGGAGGAGAGGCGTGCAGGGTGTGTGCAGGCTGGTGTGATGACTAGGTGCTCGGACACTTTGGTTGAAGGGCAGTGATAAGGGAAACCCCACAGAGGAAGCTGAGTCTTGAGGCGTGGTAGCAGTTTGCCAGGTGCCACGCGTGGGAAAGGCACACCAGGCATGTTAAAGGCACAGCGATGAAGTGGTCTTGCACTTTCAGAAACAGTGACAAATTCACTGCCTGTGCACGTGGGCGTGTGCAGGAGGGAAATCGGGCTGGAGGTGCAGGTGGGTCCAGGTAATGGGCCTCGGACGCTGTGTGTACAGGAGAGGCTGCGCAGTCAGCATGTGTGCTGGGAGGAGCATCTGGAAAGGACTGGACTGAGCAGAGAGCACGTTTCTGTCCCCACTGCCCGAGTGCTCACGCCCGAGGCTCTCTGCGCCGTGTCCTGGGCCGCCTCCTCCGATGCCACCTGCTCTGCTTTTCTCTCCTCCACAGCCCCTCTCACCTTCTCACCTTGGCTACATGGGTGCTCACTCCCTCATGTATTCAGACACACAGCGGGTCCTTCGGGAGAGCCACTGCCTGCCAGGTCCTGAGCAGGGAGCCAGGGGTGCAGGCGTGCAGAAACAGCTGGAGTACGAGGAGGAACTCCCTAGATGTCATGGGAGAGTTGGGCGTACTTGTGAAGGCGCCCAGGAGTAACAGTGACTCTGACAGTGGCCTTCCGATGAGCCAGCAGACCACGAGCTTTGCTGCGGGGGGTGGGGGGATGTTGGGGGTGTTGGGAGCCCTCGTGAGTCAATAGTGATTTGAAAGAAAAGGGAGGAACCACCATCATTGAGTGAAGTAATGATCCCCCGGCTGCAGAGGGGCAGAGTGGGGGAGGGGCTGGGTCTCCTTGCCACAAGCAGTAGCCTGGTCCCTATGGAAGGAGGAGAAGTCGGCTCCACTCTGTCAGTGAGGTAGGAAACTTAGAGGGACAGAGCAGATGGGAGGTAAGAGTGGGACCAGCGTAGTGTGGTGAAGGCCGGGTGTGGAGTGGAGGGGATCAATTGGGAAAGAAACAAAGGGGATATCTGTAATACTTTCAGCAATAAAGGTAAATTTAAAAGAAAAAGGAGTGGGACAAGTTTAAACACTTGCCTCCTGAGGAGCAGCCCCAGGAGGTGGGAGGCGGTGGTGGAGTGGAGACACTAGGAATCGTTCAGATCTAAAAGCGTGTTAAAGGCTTAGATCAAAGAAAAGCAACAGTGAGAAGAGCTGGAAGGAAGGAAGGAACATCAGAGTATTGACAGGCTGGAGCACCTCCAGGTCCCAAGAAGGAAACAGGAGGGAAACTGGCCCTGAACTACACAAGCAGGGACTGCTCCTTCCCCAGCAAATTCACACACAGTGAGAACTTGAAGTCCCGGGACAACAGCAACGATTCTCAACACGGAACCGTGCCCTGAACCTAATGTTGGGATGGGCAGTGTTTCCGTGTGGACCGCTGCTGTGGCCTCTTCACTGAGGCTCCTGGGGCGGCGGGGGGCGGCCAGAGGAGCAGGAACCCCAGTGGAACCCGGCTTGTGCCACTTGGAAGGTACTGATCGAACACCGCCCACATCTGTGGCCTTTTGTAGGCAAGTGTAACTATGTTTAATTGGCGCAGAAACTGTAGGCTTTTAACAACAGGTTGTGAGTTCTAACTGAACTTTCCTCAGGTATCACAAAACTAAGTCTGGTCAGACGAGATTTAATCAGATTTCCAAAGCATTTGACATGTAGGAACCTGAACTCTCCGAATAGATCACATCACCATATAAAGTTCATGTTTCAGATGCTCAGTGCGGAATTGAATTTGTGAGCTTTATTGCTGTGGGTCCAAGTGAGAAAATATATAACCCACAAGTTTGGCAAATATGGGTATGCCTTAGGCAACATTTCCTGAAGGCATTTGGTGATGAAATGTAAATACATCTTACATCGAAAGGGAGAGTTTTGTCGAGGTCATGGGCAGCGACACTGACTAGTTTGAAAGTTCGGGTTATGAACACTACGGTGTCGGGTGAATTTCCCGCCAAAATATAAGATGGCGCGGGCAATTATTTAGGTTTCCCGCGCAAAATCAGAGTTAGTTTAAAATGCCTATATCTTTTGAAGTATGGGTTCGATTGAAATGAAATTTCAGTGGGTATGAAACGGTTCGCATACACAGGTAGGTATCTTTGTGAACGGCAAACAAACAAATATTTGGTAATACGCAGTTACAATCGGCCCGAGTTTACACGTTTCCCGCATTCCACCGCAAATCTATATGAACCGAGTTTAAGACGGCTCCCGCGGAGTACGCGCAATTCACGCGAGCCGACTTAACTCGTTTCCCGCACTCCAAGTGTGAATAGTCATGCGGAGGAGAGGAGTCACCAGGCTCCAGGGCTAATGCTTTCTGGCTTCTTGCTGTGCGGGTGGTGAAGGAGGCAGCGAGCTGGTTTTGGCATAGGGTTCCAGGATCGGGCGCTCCGGGTGGCCTGAGAAATAGTGACTCTCAAATGTGCATAACCCTCTCCTGTGTAACTCATTGGGGTGGATTCTGTGAGTATTAATCCTATTTTATCCTTGAAGGAACTAAAATGTAATCCGGGTCTCTCGTAAAAAATTAACCTGAAAAACCGCCTTCTCTGGAAACCAGAAAGTGTTTTCCTTTCACCCTTCTGCAAGAAGCCCCGAGGACTCTGCTTTTGGCAACATGGTGGCTCGAGGTGCAGAGCAGCCCGGCAGTGCAGTCCACCAGGCAGTCCACCAGGAGGCCTGGGCCGCGGCCGGTCAGAGCGCTGGTAGTGCCTGAAGGGAAGATGGGGAAGGGCTGCTTGGAGGCCAGAGCAGGAAGGTCACGTGAGCCCGACGGTGAGCTTGCACTGCAGGCGGTGCTCGTCTTTCAGGGGTTTCCTGACCCTTCTGGCCTAGAGTCCGGCGACAGGAAGGAAAGCTCTGGAACCAGACGAGGTAGGAAGTCTCAGCTGGGCCCTTCTCCTCCCCGCCCCATGGAGCTGGAGCTCCCAAACAAGGCGGAGAGTCCTAAGAACCAGCTGGGCGTTGGCTTTGCTGGAGTGGAATAAAGCAAAAATCTCCCCCAGGAATTCGTTACCAGAAGCCTAACTCGTGCAGGTGTGAGCCTGGGTTTACACTCCTGGTGTGACCCCCAAAACAAACCAAAAGTGTTGTGTAGGTGCCCTGCCTCCTTCGGGCCGTGTTCAAAGCCTTGCTGACCGGGTCCTCCGGAGGCGTGGTGTCCTTGCGCTCTGTGCTGATGTCTTTGTTTGATTTGTAAGCTCTGTGGTGGTTTTCTTTTGTCTTCATGACCATTTTGGCGTTAGGCAAGTTTAACTCGTGTTCCAGACTCTGAGGACTAATGTCAGTGTCAGATTTGCTGAGATGTCCAGGAGGAGGGCTGGCAGGGGAAGGAGCAGCATTCATTTGAGATGCTTGTAAACTATTTCTTTGTGGAAGGAAGTTGAATTAATTTAAGAAAAGTGGGGGATGTAAGGGAAGAGAAAGGGAAAATAGATTAATGTTGATGGAAAACAGAACTTCCAAAAGGTTCTGTCAGAAACATAAAATTTGACCAAGAACAGCTTGTGCTGAAAATGCTTCCTTCTCTATAAAACAGGACGATTGAGAGCTGCTGGAGACGCGGGTCTGCACTCACCTGCGATCCGTTGCTTATTGTCAGCTTGTTACGTGCTGAGCTGTGTTAACGGCTGAGTAATGGTAGGGGCTACAGCTTTGATCACAAAAGTTGGATGTTTTATTTTCCTTGCCTCCCTACCAGTCGGGGTGGCGTTTTTGGTTTCCATCCGTGGCTGTACGTTATAGTCACCAGGGACTCTGACCTGGGGGATCTGATGGGATGGGCCCGGGTCCCTGGTTTTGAAGGCACTATGTCCCTCAGGTGGCCCTGCAGTGTGTCCAGCCCTAAACTGCTGCGGAGGCTGGTCTTTCGTTCTTCCTATACATTGGCCCCTAGGGTAGTTGGTAGAGCACTTATGCAGTGAATTAGAAGATTAAATATAGGAGAAGTTTTACTAGATCAGACACTCTGTAGCTGTAGGTTTGTCTGTATAACTGAGGAAGTGCCTGACCTCCGTTTGGGACAGAACAGGAGCCCAGCATGGCCTGAGCGAGGGACTTCCTCGCCGGGGCCGCCTGGGTGGACCTCTGCGCCAGGTGTCCCCGCTCTGCTTTACGGCCCCTGCAGTCGTCGCCCTTCCCACAGACAACGAAACGGCACCTGCTGGAGGTTTGAAACATGCTAGGTCTTCAGGATGTGGCGAGAGGTGGGGGTTGGCTGAGCCTTCTTCTCGCTCGTTCTGGGGGAGGGGGGTGCTGCCCCCTCC